GATGGCCTCCAACGGAATAGCGATGGCCTCCAACCGAATGCGATGGCATCCTGGCATCCAACCGAAAAGCGATGGCCTCCAACCGACTAGCGAGAGCCTCCACCTGGACGCCCACTTAATTGACAGGACAGGACAGGTGGTTCGCCTTCGTAGCATCGCTTGAGCAAAGGCTTAGCTGAGCGGTAATTGCGAACTTTGGGGCTTCGGGTGGCCAAGTATCCGCCCAAAAAAGGGCATGGTGTTGGAAATATGTTAACAAACCAATTAGATCAACTCATCGACTTGATAACTAATGTTAACCAACGATTTCTTCCAAACATTGCTGTGTTGCTGTTGCGCGGGTAAAGTAACAAATCGGCTAGGCACGTGCCAGGCCCCTTTGGGCGAACTGCGCACGGCCAGGTGGCCCTGCCCTTGTGAGGTCTGGTGTGCACATTCACAAGACCAGCTTCTCCAAATCTGACGCTTTCTAGACCAGCACATTTGCGTCTTCTGTGTCTTGTGTTTCTAGCATTGCGCTGCCTCCTTGAAGCACTTTACACTTTACAAGTCAGTTTCAAGCGTCAGCCTGGTCATCGAAGCAGCTTCCATCCAAATGGCCCAAACCAGGTGTAGCCCCCATGACACGCCACGAAGGAATTTCAAACCTGACACAAGCTGATGAAACGAGAAACAATTATATAACTAAAGTATATCCAATTTAAGTACTAGTGAGGGTAGGCCATGAAGAGTGTCTTAAGAGAGTAGCTTAGTAATACTAAGTAGCTTAGCGGCTGCTAGGTGGGACGCACTCTCGCGGGGTTAAGCGTCCTTGTCAACACGTACGCAATATACTCAGTGAAATGCCGCCTCGGTGTGGCAAACAGTAAGGCTTAGCTAAGGCTGCTTAGCTAGGCTAGGTGCAAAAAGAGTGGAATTCAACTTCGAACCCGGCCAATATGTGGAGAGCACAATGCCAACATCACCACGCTCAACCAAATCCTGCGTATGAAAGTCCGGCTTGGGCATCTGCATTGGTCTAGTCTGCTTGGTTTCTGAAGGATCAACTGTAGTTTGACCATGCATTTGCACTAATTCACGACAAAAAGTGCCATCAAGATATAGCAGCTATGGTCTAATAGGTCTAATATGTATTCTATATATATATATTTAATGTGAATAGTGAGGACATGTCTCCTTCAATAGCGGCATCAAATCCTCATCCAGGCGTATGTGGGTTGCTGCACGAGTTCGATTCAGGACACCGTCGATGTCGAGGAAAACGACCTAAACTGTGCAGTGAAATGTGTTTCAAGGAAAACGAAAATGCACTTCCAGTTTAGCACAACGTTCGAGTTCATCTATTGAGAAAACAAAATGTTTTCCGCTCTTGAAGTGCATTGACTACAGGAACCTCTGGTCTTGAAAATTCCACAATTCAACTCCTGAGTATGTGTTGTTTCCTAGCCTTGCACCATGCTGTTTCTATCACCGTTTAGAAAGAATGGTGAGCCAACTCTGAATTCTGGGATTAGCGGCGCGCGAGAAACGCTGTGGGGCTAGAGCCTCCCTTACCAAAGGCATTGCACTAACACTTTGATTGACACATGATCGGAGAAAATCTTCAGTTCTCCTGAGATGTTTTCATTCGAACTACTCGCTACAAACCCAATGCAATTGTGCAACAAAAACTCTGAGATGGCAGACTGACCACCCTTCTTTTTGCCGATCCTTTTGCAATGAAGGGCCATTCATGCAAACCGACTATGACTGCACACAAATGTCTGCGGGATTTGTTCATGCACAATTCACATGTTCCCTCTCTTTAGTCTGAAACAAATCAATTACTCATAATATGCTAGCAATCGATAGAGGCCATCGCTCCGCTATTAGGTTGAAAGCCATCGTTACTAGAAACAAACATGCTGGCAATCTATGGTCTACCTCTCTAGCTCGATGATTTGCGTGGTTTGCACGACAGAACATGCACAACAACCCTGCCTGGCGCTCCAACTCCTGCTTCAACGGTTTCAGGAAAAATCCCAACATGTCTGTTTCAACAATTTTCAAGACTTTTCGAACAGAAGGTGACTGAAGGTTTCGAAGGTCTCCCGTCGCGCCACCACTGCATTTGGATGCACCATATTGGCAAAATTCCGCCTCAGGAGGGATTGAATCTGTACGTAAAGAAAACGTATTGTGACAATGTTTTGGAGTCCTCGACATCCAAAATAAATCATGTGTCTTTGGGTTCAAGAAATTGGACAAATGATCACGGCGTTGTTTTGACTAAAAAGCCCACTGCACTGCAAACATGCAGTGCAGCACCCAGCTGCCATTAGACCGCCATTGCGATGCTCTGTTCACAGCACGTTACATTTCTGCTAAACAATGTATCTACTTTGTTTGATGCTCAGTTGGGGAGCCAGCTGAACCAAAAGCGCTTTCATGTTTTGCTCCTCAAATGCTGGGTTTCAATGTTTCCATAGTTCCACGTTCCGTTTGCAAGGAAGGTATTTTGAATCCGTCTCCATTCAAGATGGTTTGCAACCGACCAATGCGAATTAGAATCTCTGATGCCGATACTTTTCGAAACATGACTTGACTTGAAAAACTCCTCGGCATAAAGACCGCAACAAACCCTTTTGCACTGGCAACGTGCCATAGAATTCCACAAATGCTCACTTTTGCACATGCACAGTGACAGTATAAAGCAAATGAAAATGCAGTCTGCAATACATGTGGTGCATTTCTTGATTTTTGCCACCTCTGTGAAATGCACATGTGGCTGAGTACCAACTACACATGTCTGGCACTTCTCTTTGGGTGCCTTGAATTTTGCGTGGGTGTGAACCAAGCGCATCATGTTTAATTCGTAGAATACGACTTGATCACGGTTCTAGTTCGAGCAAGGATCCGCGCGTTTCTTTCCTTCACTTGGGCGCTTGGGCCAACCGTATGTGCAGCATGTGCAAATGAAACTTGCATGCTATATTGCAGGCTGTACCTATTGCAGTTCCTTTCTCATGTGTAGATGCTATACAGCTTTGTGCCGCAAAAATGACTAGATTCCATTTGCAAAGTCTGGTGAATAGAATGCGGGCTTTACATATCACGGCACTGGTTCTACCTTGTACTCAGAACAAGATGGAGCCCACGAACCCGAATGCAAACATGTTCCAGAAGTAACCGTTTAAAAATAGTATCCGTTTTTTTTCCTCCGACATTGTCATGGGGACTCCGCCACCACATGTAGAGCAAGCCTCATTCTACCTTTAAATGAGGCAATGGCGCAGAGACTCAGGGAGGTCTGCATCTCGAAAGAAACATTTGCAGCGTCCAAAAGTCTCGAAAAGAAAATAACTACTTTACTTCGAGTGATCCCCACCATGACATTTCAATCATTTGACTTGATGCCATAGTGAGGAGCATGTTGCCATGGTCGTGAGTATTGTAGTTCACGATTTTGTTTGTGGGTCTTCGGGTTGTGTGCTGCGGTTGTGTGTTGTGGTTGTGGTTGTGTGCTGTGTTGTGGTTGTGGTTGCATGTTTGTGGCTGTGTGTTTGTGATTGTGTGTTTGTGGATGTGTTTGCGGTTGTGCTTGTGGCTGTACGTTTGTGGTTGTGTCTTTGTGGTCGTGTTGTTGTGGTTGCGTGTTTGTGGGTGGTTGTGTGTTTGTGGTTGTGTTTGTGTTTGTGTGTTGTGGTTGTGTGTTTGTGGTTGTGTTTGTGGTTGTGTGTTTGTGGTTGTGTGTTTGTGGTTGTGTGTTTGTGGTTGTGTGTTTGTGGTTGTGTTTGTAGTTGTGTGTTTGTGGTTGTGTTTGTGGTTGTGTGTTTATTGTTGTGTCTTTGTGGTTGTGTGTTTGTTGTTATGTTTGTGGTTGTGTGTGTGGTTGTGTGCTGTGGTTGTGTTTGTGATTGTGTTTGCGGTTGTGTGTTGTGGTTGTGGTTGTGATTGTGCTTGTGATTGTGTATTTGTGACTGTGTGTTTCTGGTTGTGTTTGTGGTTGTGTGTTTGCGGTTGTGTGTGTGGTTGTGTCTTTGTGGTTGTGTTGTTGTGGTTGTGTGTTTGTGGTTGTGTGTTTGTGGTTGTGTGTCTATTGTTGTGTGATTGTGGGCGTGCGTTTGTTGTTATGTTTGTGGTTGTGTTTGTCGTTGTGTGTTTGTGGTTGTGTCTTTGTGGTTTTGTTGTTGTGGTTGTGTGTTTGTGGTTGAGCGTTTGTGGTTGTGTGTGTGGTTGTGTGTCGATTGTTGTGTCTTTGTGGGTGTGTGTTTGTTGTTATGTTTGTGGTTGTGTTCGTTGTTGTGTTCGTGGTTGTGGTTGTGGTTGCGGGTTTGTGGCTGTGTGCTTGTGGTTATGTGTTTGTATTCGTGTGTTTGTGGTTGTGAGCTTGTGGTTGTGTTTGTGGTTGTGTTTGTGGTTGTGTGTTTGAAGCATACTAACTGCCATTCAATCTGCCATTCTATCTGGCAATCTATCTGACATACTATCTGGCATACTGTCTGGCATACTATCTGGCATTTTGTCTGGCATACTATCAGTCGTCCTATCTGGCATTCTATCTGGCATATTTTCTGGCATTCTATCTGGCAATGTATCTAGCAATCTATCTGACACACTATTTGGCATACTATCTGGCATATCTTCTTGCAGCATTCTATCTGGCAATCTACCTGGCATTCTATCTGGCATTTTTTGTGGCAAACTATCTGGTTGGGGTCCAGCGGTGCACACTGCGATCGGATTCTTGCGGTTGAGGTCCAGCGGTGCACACTGCGATCGGATCCTTGCGGTTGAGGTCCAGGGGTGCACACTGCGATCGGATCCTTGCGGTTGAGGTCCAGGGATGCACACCGCGATCGGATCCTTGCGGTTGAGGTCCAGGGGTGCACACTGCGATCCGGAGCTGGCCAGACAAGATCGGCGAAGCAGATTGGCGAAGCAGATTGGCGATGAAGATTGGCGATGCAGATTGGCGAGGCGATGAAGATTGGCGAGGAAGGAAGCAAGGAAGAAGGAGGAAGGAAGGAGGAGGAGGAAGAACAACTGTGATAAAATCAAACAACCCTCACCTGGCAGGTGGGGAATTATAACCGTCGACATACCACAGAGAAATCCACAACTGCAGCGTCTGGTCTTGTTGCAAGTAAGAATGTAGCACCATGCCTCGCTGCATCTTGCCTGCTTCAAAAAGAAACACCTGATCCACAAATTCGCATCCATTCATGATAGAAATGAATGGTATAGAGTTGTCTTTAACATACATTCGCGCTCGTGATTTTGAACGGATTGAGATTTTTCCGGGATTTGTTTAATTTTTCTGTTTTTCGCGGTTTTTTCTGGGCGCGCTTTACAAGCATCAGGAGCAGCAGAAAGGTCACGCCCAGTGGGAGGGAGAGAGCGAGACAGTGAAAGAGGGAGGGAAACAAAAAGACCCCCTTAACGAAGGAGAAGGAGCAGTGAGGAAAGGAAAGTGAAGAGAGGAACTACAATAGCGACTTCCGTGCGAATGTCTTCCGGCTTCGAGTCTCTTAGGAGTTCGGACCTTTGCTGTTATTCCCCATCCGGATTGCTTTGCTGACGCCCCGACGGTGGCGGAAACTGGTTTGTCCACATTGCCAAAATGGGATCTTCCCTCTGCCATGAAAGACCTGCAGCAAGAAGAAACCAAATGGCCATTGTCGCGCAGGCTGTCTTCCGTGGCTGCTCTGCAAATTTTTGGGCATTTGGGTAGCCGGACTCTGGAGCATGGTCAGCTTTTGGGAAGTGACAGGGAAGCGGTTTATCAGATGCACCCAGAGCTGTGGCATGATGTTCATGTGGCATGTTTGCAAGCTGCATCACTTGGTCAGCAGAGACTGAGACCGTGACCAATTTCAGCAATTGCCTGCAGCCGTACCCAGGTCTTACGCGCAAGCATTGACTCTACCTCCAAAGTGGCCGCTCTACCCTGGCCATTGGCGGCGTTTTCGGTTCTGGCAAACACCCGTCACTCGCATTCATGCTTGGTTGGTTTGCGGTCACCACCAACGTTTTGGTGTCATCCACAAGAAAAGCCAGCAGGCCTCGCCATTACCAAAATGCTTGAACACCTTTCACCTCACTGACGATCAATGCAAGTCCATTGCCAGACCTGTTGGTCGCCTCGAGGCAGAGGCCAATGCGATCAAAACCAAAGTTTATTGGCTTTTGCTGGGCATGAGAGCGGTGATTCCGTCTCCAAAGCCAAGTCGTAGTTGCCACGACGGGACTGATATGGGACCACCTCGGGCAGCCCTACCCAATCTGCGCAAGCGCTTTGAAGATGTTGCGCTTTTGGTGAAGAAGGCCAACAAGACATGGATGTCAAAAAAACGTTTTCGTGCCATCCATGCCCCGCCGGCCCAGAATGACCCCACGCAATCCTGATGAGCAACAAAAGCACCGGCCCCTGTTGTTTCGGGCGCCCTTTGGCCTCCGAGCAGCCCATCGTTGGCGCACGCCACCTCGATAAGAGCCAACAATGAAGCGATTACGGGACTTAGGTGTGTCAATTGGGTGCACAAGTTTGGTCCCGAATTGCAGGTCACGGACCCTAAGGCGCG